CTTCTGTCCTTCATCCCTCTGCTTCGGCTTCACGCATTAACTCTCTTTTAATGGGGCGCGGCCCTTTCGAGGGGAAAATGGAATTAACACGGGGTATGGGGATTGCTTTGCTTCGAATTCACGGAAATGATTTCCTTGTTTCTAGGGATGAATTGCCGGAATGTGCGCAAAAGAAAAAGGAAATCAAGGACGCGGCCAAAACACTAAACTTCTCTGATTTGCAGAGAGTCCAGGTCCCTGCAGGACGCACCCATGCTTCATAAACGAATGAATCGCCCCGCTTTTGATTCTAATTGTGCTAGACAAGACGAAAAAGAACCGTGAACATAATTTGGAATTAGGAGCGGCAAGGGGCGGGGGAAAAGACCGTCCTGTGTGTGTGTGGTGGTGGGGGGGGGCTCTCTCCATGGACATTGGCATGAAAAAAATGATCGTATCAACCACACCGAACGCTCCGAAACGATAAAAAAAAAATTGCTTCATTCCTCCTTCTCCGACTGTGTGGCTCTTGCCAGCGCCACGAAGTGCGGCCGCTTCTTTGCGGGACGTGTTGCGCATTTGCGGAGGACCCTGCCCACGTGCGCCATCAGCTTCTCTGCAGAGGCGAAGGCAAGCAACCACAACACCAGCGCGGCGAGAAACCACAGCGCAAAAATGTCAAACTGCCCTGCGCGCAGCGGGTGCAGCTCGGACTCCAGCCCGTCGTTAAAAATGACGCAATTCTCAAGGGATGTGTTCCTGCCGAGGAGGTGATTGTACCACCGATCTTGTAGGATGTCAACGGCCCTCTTTGCACCTCCGAGAAACTTGGAGACTTGGAGAAGTCGCGCCATGTTGCCGAGTAACTGCTTCCGGCGCGATGCCTGTGTGACGAGCCGTATNGAAACTTGGAGACTTGGAGAAGTCGCGCCATGTTGCCGAGTAACTGCTTCCGGCGCGATGCCTGTGTGACGAGCCGTATTGCTCCTGACAAATCATCGGATGTAAAGTGGCTCTTGCGCCCAATGTATTTTCCAATACCCGCCTCCTCCACGCGCTGGCAAACATCAGCCTGGTCTGCTAAAAAAGGAATACCAACAATGGGCAATTGGGCCTCTAGCGCCTCATGAACGGAGGCATCGCCGCAGTGCGAAACGAACGCCACCACACGCGTGTGGCGCATGATTTTGAAAGGGGAATTGAAATAGGGACGGATGTACGTCCTCTTTGCACTCCCCCCGAAATACTTTTGCATAACGAAGTTCTTCTGCTCCTCCTTGAGCTTCCAGACGACACAAAACGGAAGCTGTTCAAGGGCCTTGGCTACATGATCAAGGTGGCTACGCTGCGGAACAGCCAGCGTGCCGAAATTAACGTAGACGGCGCCATGTGCTTTGCACTGGTCGTCAAGAAATTCGGCAAGGTCAGCTTCAAGAGGGGGTGTGCGATCCTCAGGGAAGTTTAACAACCCCAGAGGGTGAAAGTTTGGACAGAGCTCATGTGGGATATCGAAACCCCACACCGTGGGGGCCAAAACGGTGTCGTACCAACCTCCTAATTCATAGCCATTGTGGAGAGGTGGAATGCCGTGACGGGCCCGCCCAGCGTTCAGGCGCTCCAGTGACTGTGGAAACGCCACGACTGCACTCTTCAAAACATAGTTCATCAGTCGCCTCCAGGTGTCCATTCGTGCTGGCCAGCCGGTTCCCATCATGGGCAGATGGCTGGAGACGCCCAAAGGTAACATTGTCGTGAGGGGAAATAGCAGGACGAGTGGGATGCGCAGCGCCGCCGCCACAGAGCCGCCGGCGAAGGTCGACACATCACCTAGCACCATGCTCAGCGGGTGTCTGGCGTGCACCTCCTTGGCTGCACGAAGGTAGTCGTCGAGGTGTACCTCATGATGGCGGACCGACTCGTTGAAGATATCTTCGAAGGCGGGCAGAATCGTCTCCATGCGACTAATCTTCGCAAAGAAAGAGGCGCTGAACACACCATGTGAGGGGAGCGCGACGCAGTCCACCGCCCCTCCCGCCTGACGCACCATCTCACACCAATTGGGATTTTCGATGAAATACGTGACATGGTGGCCCCGCCTCGCGAACTCCTCCCCAATCACCTGCAGCGGCTTGAAGTGGCCGTGGAGGGGAATGCAGATGATCCCCACATGCAACGGTGGCGTGCCGGGCGCCCACGCTCCCAACGCAAGCCCCTCCGCCGCTGCGGCGGAAGAACCGCACAACACAACAGCCAGCACCAATAAACACCACCAGCGCATTCTCACACGCAAAAAGGCTGCCAATTTCCCGTTCCTCCCTTCGGTTGCTTCTCGGCTCCTCTCCCTTTCACCTTTGTAGACGGCGGGGGCAACACAACAAAGAAACATCAGGGGCTGAGGGGGCAAGAAGCCCACCGCTGGGCCACGCGGAACTCCACCACAAAAAAAAAAACATCACAAAAACAAACCCCATAAAACAAACAAAAAAACAATGACCGCGCGAGCAGCCAATTCGAGGGACCTCTCACTCCCATTCACACACTCACACAAGACACATTAAAACAATAAAGGAAAAAGAAAGGAAATAATAAAAAATCAAACCTTTTTCTTCAACTCCTCCAGCCATTCAGCAGCTGTTACCAGAGGCTGCGCTGGTCCACTCCCATTCCGCATTTGTTTTCCCCTTTCCTTCGCGTCAGGCACGCCAGTACATTTACACGAGGCGAGGCTAGACATGTCTCCCATTTCGCATTGGCGAAAAAAGGAGTTAATTGCCTCTTCTTTTTTGGGGTCAACTCGTGAAAGGTAAGAAATGCCGGGTCTTGCCAGGGAGCCGCTTGCTCCCAATACCTTTAAAAAATTTTTTGAGTGTGTAATCGCTATTTACTCACATCTTAGCAAGTGCCACGAGTATCATTGACGGCAGGCGAGGTGTCGTGAGCCACCGCATCGATCGCTCGGCCAAGGTCACCAAGTATATCCTCAATTTGCTCAATGCCGATGGAAAGACGAATGATGTCACGCGGGAGTGTTTGCTCCTCCAACGGTATAGATGCATGCGACAACAGACAGGGAAGCTCAACGACGGAGTTGCAGCTTCCAAAGCTCACGGTCAGCTTGAACAGCTTCAGTGCACGCACAAAGCGGTACGAGCGCTCCAGATCCCCCGTCTCCAACGAGATTACAGACCCAGGTCCTGTTGTCTGCGAGCGGTGGATCTCAAACTCCCTCTTTGTGAGACTGGAAACCTCCGGACAGAGCGTTGGGTTGATACCCGCGTAATGCAGCCGCTTTACCACATGCGTCTGTTGACTTAAGAAGAGTGCCACCGCGACGGCGTTCAATTCCTGTTTTTCCACACGTATGGCCAACGTCTTCAAGCCGCGGAGCAGCAGCCACGAGTCAAACGGACTCAGGGAATTTCCCTGGGCGTTTTGCAGAAATGCAACACGCTTCGCAAGCTGCGCGTTCTTCACACAGACGATCCCGCACATCGTGTCGCTGTGTCCACAAAGGAACTTGGTGGCGCTATGGATGACATAGTCGCACCCCAGGGAGATTGGGGTACACCGCACAGGACTCATCATGGTGTTGTCAATGGAGACCATCACCCCACAGCTGTGGGCCATCTCGCAGAGGGCTTTGATGTCCACAATCCGCACGAGCGGGTTCGTCGGACACTCAAGGTGCAACAGCTTCACCCGCTCCGTCATCTTTTCCTTTACCGCCTCCAGATTCCACGTCTCAACAAACACCACTTCAATACCCATCCGCGACGTTACTTGCGTCAGAAGCCGGTACATGCCACCATACAGGTCCGAGCTCGCCAGCACAACGCTTCCAGCCTCCAGTGTGGCGATTACCGTTTGTAGTGCCGCCATTCCAGACGCAAAGGCAAATGCGGAGTGGGCACCTTCCAACTTTGCCATCAGTGTCTCCAAGGCGGTGCGGGTGGGGTTGCCGCTGCGTGAGTAGTCGTACGGGCCAAACTCACAAATATCCGGCTGTACAAACGTTGCAGTTTGGTAGATGGGTGTGGAGGACGGGTGGTAGGGGTCATTGGGGCAGCCGTCAAATACGACAACCTGAGTGCTGGGGTGCTCCGCCGCCTTCTCAAAGTGCGGACGCATGGGGTAGGTAGGCAGCTCGACATACGGCACATCTGCACTGCGCTTAAAACGCACCGGCTGCAGCGACTGCTCCAAGTATTCACGCTCCTCCTCAAGCGCTGACAACACCGTGTGGGGGGGAACACGGGCCACGCTGATGGCGTGCATCGTCTCAAACTGTGAGACACGCTCACGGAGCATAGCATTCTCCTCCATCAGGCGAGCAATCGTCTTGTTCTTCTCTTCGACAGTGCCATCCATTGTGTAATTGGTTGTGCTTTTTTTTCTTTTGCTGGTCCTCCCAGTTAGCACGTATAACCTCAAACCAGGGAGTCTACAACGCCTCGCCTCCCCACACACCCCCAAAGAAAGCAGGGCACTGTGATGTCGCGGATTGCTACGGAACGAAAAACAAAGAGACGATACGGAAACAAAACAAGGAGAACTATCCCCGAAGGAAAGCGGAGCAGACAGCGAAAACGTCAACAACAAGGACCAAACGAAACAACAACAACAACAACAACAAAAAAGGAGGAGACTTGATTAATAAATAAATATATAAATATCGGAATAAACTTTCAAGTAAATAAACAGTGATGGACCTCCCACAGCGGGGCGCACATCTCCTCTCAGCATATTTTCGCCTGCGAGAAGTCCATTTCCGGGTGGGCCGCCATGAATTTGGCCAGCATGTCTCGCTTCTGCTGCTCCTCTGAAGTCGGAAGACCAAGCGCCTTCTGGCGTTGATCGTACATCATCTTCTCCACTGTCTGACGGGTGTCGCTGTCAAGATCATCCAACTTGGAGTTCTCTGGCACCACCTTCTGGAGGTCTATCTCCATATCCCCCGCAATAACGGTCTTCCACCATTCCATCTGGTTCTGCTTCGTGAGCGTCAAGACGACGGTGCGACCGTCCTCAATGGTCCACATGCTCTCCTCCGCCTTCACAGCCGCATACAAATCGCCATCGACGATGGGTGGCTTCCCCTTCAACCCCACACGTAGGCGATGCTGCTGCATAACAACATCCAAGTTCTTCCCTTTAGCGTTCGCAATAGGCAGCGACACTCGCACCTCCACCTCCTGCAGGCTTTGCGTAAAAGTGTAGTGCTCGTAGTCGAACCCATTGCCCGCGTTCGGCGGCAGTCCCTTCGGCTTCATCCCATCCTCATCTTCCTTGGCGTTGGCCAGCTCTTCCATCTTCTTCTCCAGCTCTTCCTTGCGCTTTGCCGCCTCCGCCGCCGCCTTGGCTGCCGCTGCCGCTGCCACTTCCTCCTCATCCTCCACTACCTCCACGCGCGAGGCAGCGGCCTTCTTCTTATCCTCCGCCAGCTTCTGCTGCAGCTTTGCCTCGGCGTGGGCTAAGTGGCGGTCAAGGGCACGCTGCACGGCGGTGCGTGCCAGGCCTGGCTGCGTGAAGAAGTCCGTTTTCCTTCCCAGGAAGGAGAAGAAGGTGTCAAGGATAGAGTCAATTCCATCATGCTGCTGGGCAATCGCCAGTAACATGGAGTCAAACCGTTCATCCGCCGTCATCTCGTGTGCAAAACCACTCTCCTTTCTTATATACCTTATCCTGTTGTGGCTAATCAGACACCCCGTGGACACCCGCACACACAAGAGGAGCCCGGAGCCGAAGAGAAAAGAAAAAGGAGAAAAGGATGTTACCAATACACATGCATACGTCTAGACACAGACAGACGCCCCCCCCACCCCCCACAAGGCACCAACACGCACATACATATCCTACACGCACTCAAACTGCAAAGCAACAACCAAAACAACGAAACAGCAGAGCGTCTGAAACAAGCAGAGTGCGAAAGTAAGAAGGATCCTTCTCGAGAAAAGAAGTGGTCCGGTGCGCGCTGATATATACCCCACTACGGCGATGTGCTCGGAGGAACAACCAGCGCGCCGCGAAACTGTGATCGCATCGCTACCAGCTGTAAGAAAGGCCAAAGAAATGGGACATCACGCTGCCGCACCCAGGGGCACAGGTGCGTCAACTGCAACTTTGTGGCCTTTTGCGAGAACACATTGCAGAGTTCAGAGGGCGCCGTCCCATCGAGAAACAGCGAGGGGAAACTGGCGTCGCTGAGAGCTACAAATGGAAGCAGTTTCATTTCCACCTCAATGGCGTTCCATAGCCCACCCAGTAGGTTCCACTCCAAACTATCCGGCCCGAACTTCTTGTAGAGCTGTGCAACAAATAACTCCAGCGACGGAGGGAGCCTGCGCCCCAGCAGCAGGCGGTACCCGATGGTCCTCACAAGCACTTTCTGAAGGCCCAGTCGCCGTAGTGTCGTCAGCTCATCCACCCTCACCCACCCACGACCCCAACCGTTCTCCATGAAGTCAACAAATGCATTTGTAACAGCGCGACTGGCGTGGAGGTAAAATTGCATGGTGGCGGAGCGGCGGATGAGGGCTCGCCACACCCCGCAAACCGAGATGGCGGCTGAGAGGGCACGCGGTGAGAGGTGCTCAAGTATGAACTCCTGCACGTCGTACGGCAGAGGAGCGATGCCACGGGCGGCGAAACGTTCGTTGCACGCAGATGGATGTAAAAAACTGGCCTCCACACTACCTGTCTCCATCTTCCGTTTGTGACGTTCTATGTGTGAAACGACAATCGCATCGTCGTTATCATCATCATCATCATCATCAACCCTGTCCCAGTCGCTGCTGCTTTCGATAGAGTGGTAGACAACGATGCCTCTCAAAAGCCTGACTGTAGTGCGTGGGTGCTGGGCCAAATCCCAGTACCACGTCGGCGCACGTACGGCGTATTCCGCGCGTGACTGCAGCCACGGCAGCATTGGGCACGCAGAGCACTGCCGCCCAGCCGCCGACCCACCGTGGCAGCGTAGCAGGGCCTTCGTCAAGTTCACGAACAAGAGGGCGGGACTCGAGTACGGAGAGACTTCCTCCCCAGCGTCGTCGCCTGAGGCCTTGAGGTACGGTGTAGTCTCCAAGAAGACGCGCAGTGACTGACGGATAGACACTGTATCTATACTGTGATCAGCGTAGAACTCTAGGAACGCGAGTAGCAACGGCGCGAGGACTTCTTCCGAAAGATGGGCGTCGAAGTCCACCATATCATCCTGCAGGTAGGCCTCAGTGTTGGAGGCAGTATCGTCTAAGTGTGGTAAGGAGGGGGAAGTCCCCGCTTCTGCCTCCACACTTGTGTCATCACCTGTTGGTGAGGTGCGCAACGTCCTTTTCATGCGTAGGAAGATTGCGAAGATGGTATTGATATGAATCATCACATCTATCAATGAAATGCTGTCTGTCGGAATGCGTCTCTTCCGCGCGGGGTGCCCATCAGTGTGCCGTGGGAGGAACTGGTAGCGCCGCAGGAAGGCAACTGAGGAATCGCTAAAGTAGCGAGGCATAAAGCCTGCCACTTTCGCAGCAGCGACGTAAGAAGAAGAGGAAGTGTCAAAAAAAAAAAAGAGAATGAGGGAAATACATTTTCAAAGAAACAAAAAAGAAAAGGCAGAATGTAGCAGATCGAATCCTGCACACCCAAACAGATACACAAACAAAGCAGCGTGACAAAGAAGGAGTCTCTGATCGTGCCCACTGTGAAGATGCTAACGGAGCATCTCCTGCTAACAATGGGAGAAGTCAACAATGTCCGTAAGCTCATGCGCTGCCCAGTTGGAGATGCGCTGCTTCACCTTGGAGGGGTCCTGCTGTTTGTAAAAGATGGGCTGCTGAAACTCCTTCACGAGGTGGTTGCGGTCCTGCATGAACTCGTGGAATGCGGAGAGACCCACCATGCCACCCGACCACGGTGTTGCACCGACCGCGTCGTTATTTCCTAAACGCACCAGCAACCGCGGGATAGCCATGCGCTGCGGATTCACGCCGTCACGTGAATGCAGAAAGCGCTCAGTAGGGTTATGTATCACGGAGTTGAGTCCGCGGAAGATAGTGCGCACCTGCACATCACTTGATCCGTAGCTCCGCACCCATGGGAGGTTGCCGCAGCGCCCTGGGGCCCATATGTTCGGGTGCCCGTACAGTTGCATCAGCGTGCTGACGCGGTAGTGGCCATCCGGCGCCTCGTGCTCAGTGAGGCTGTTGCTGCGCCCCTTCCCTGTCTGAATCGGACGTGGTGTGTCGCCGATGGTTGAGAAGACATAGTCGAACCCCTCCTCCACACCCGAGAACTCCACCGCATCGCCACTAAGCTGTGGCTCGCGCCGACCAAAGTAAACCTGGCTCACAATCGACTGCTGCGGTGCGGGCAAAAAGTGCATCTTGTCGTAACGCACCGTGAAATGCGACGGCTCTAGTGGCGGTTTGCTGAATGGCGCCAGGAGCAGTCGTGAGAAGAGCGAAGGCGATGAGGGATGTGTGTCAATGCGCTGTCCGTTTGCGTCATACGCGTCCACGTCCGTCACAGACGTACAGAGGTGCAAGCTCAGATTCTTCTGCCGCTGCAAGGTGTCAAGGGCGTACTTGCGGCTTGTCGTTGGCAGTGCGGGGATGAGCTCCGACTTGGAGTGGTACAAGTGCACCTGCAGGTCGGGCCGGTTGCACGCCAGGTCGAAAGCAAGTGAGGTGCCAACCGGCCCCCCGCCAAGTACCGCCACCTTTTTGCATGTGCCGAGGAATTCATTAAAGTGCCGCAGCTCCTGCACGCGGCCGGCGATAGTGCGCTGCTTCGTGGCAAACGGAAATGGTTTGCGTTCGCCCGGCGCAACGAAGAGAAGGTTGTACGGCACGCGGCGGCCGTCACGCAAGGTCACCGCCTCGTCGTCCACGCCGTCCACAGTGCCGGTCACCACGTTCGCCCGCTTCAGGTAGTAGCGGTGCAGGATGAGGAGGCGACGACACGCCTCCTCGTTGAGCTCGCACCACGGGTTCGCCAGAATGGGGATGATGTCGTTGGTGAGCTCGTAGTAGTTCTTTTCGTCGATTAGGGTGACATCAAACATGCTGTCGAACATGTACGCGAGCTTCGCCCCAGCATAGCCGCCACCCACAATGACGCAGCGCACAGGCACCACATCCTTGCTTGGGTCTAGGATGATATCCAGCGTCGGCGCCGATGCCGCAAGCGTCGTTGTACAAGAGCGGCACGCAGAGAGCGCACCGCCAAGGATGCCACCCGCGAAGACGCGCCAAAACATGCTGTGAACACAAGACAGGGAACGAGACGATTCAATGTATGACTAAACACACGCACTGGCCCTTATACACCCCCTTTGCGCAAGCGGGAGAGGAATAGAAAGAGAGAAAAGGAGAAAGGGTCTCTGTGTGTGAGTGCGTGATGGGTTATGTCTGCACATGCCTGCATGCATGCGTCTGAGAGACACCAGAGGCCACAGTCGCATGTATAAACAGAGCTACTTGCCGTTATCGGAGACCCCCCTCCCCCCACATCCCATTTTGTCCTCTCCTCACGGACAATAGCAACAATAGTAACAACACACCAGCCAAGCATGCGAAACAAATCGCCATGCTTGTCACTCTCGCTTCACTGTGAGAAACTGCAGAACTCTGAGTGCATCCTGCGCGGTATGCCACGCTGTGGCGTCCAGCAGCCGTGTCTGCTTCACTGCGCGGTGCAGTGCCGGCATGTCGATCTCCAACTCCACGTCGAACGAGACCTGCGGGGCGCTGATGTACGGCACGCGCACTTCCGCCCCCCACGGCCGTGAAAAGCGAGAGTGGTCGGTGAAGGAGCGCACCATTGCGATGTCCACAGCGAGCAGCGGCGTGACCCGCACCGACTTGCGCTGCCGCAGCCGCGACACGTTGGGCGTGAAGGCCTCCCACTTTGCCGGTCCCCACGCCTGCGCGTCGAGGACTCTCTCGCGCGACACCGATACGCGAAAGTCCGCCGCCCACGATGGGCAGCGCACGTCATGTGAGAAAACACGCTCCTTTTCCACCGCCGCCAGTAGGCTGCCGCTGTTGCACTCCTCATTCATCGAGTACTCGAGGCGCTCCGTTCCTGCTGTTCGCACGGAGAGGACCGTCGTGGAGCGTGGTGGCACTGACACACTCACCGCCTTGAGCGCCTCGTGCAGCGCGACAAACGTCGGCTGCGCCACACCGGCAAAGAAGAAGAACGGCGCCGTCGGCTGCGCCTCCAAGAGCGCCGGTGTCGCTGTGTGGGTGGGGAGCGGGTGGGTGTACGTGTGCCGCGACGCGGAGAAGGTGCCGAGGCGGCACTCGAACTCGACGGAGACACCAGCGGCCATCTCGCGACGGTACACAACGAGCGCACGCTTCAGCGCATCGCTGAGGACCTCCGCGAGGGGGTCGCGGTACGCTGGGATGCGGTGCAGCATGGAAATAATACTTGTGGCGGTGCAAAGACAGATTGAAAGAGAGAGCGAGAGAGTTCGTGCGTATGACGGAGGGTGTTGAACCGGTAAACTCACACCGCCAATGGTGGTGAGAGGCAGCGGTGTGCGGCGAGAGGGATCATCGATAACGACGGTGCAAGAAAAAAAAGAAAGGCGAAGGGGAATACAAGATTGATGCCAAAACAGTGATGGGTGGGGACCGCTTTCTATTCCTCCACTGGTGCAGGCGTCTCCCACATCAAGAATTCTGCGACCCCATCACGTTAATGCATTTCTATGCTGATCAAACAATGTGCGTCCCTCACTACTCGTCGGATGACGTGCTGCTCTCAAAAGACGAGCTCCCGCTGCTGAGAGGGCGCGCTGCCACTCTTGCTGCCGGCACCACAGGGCGTGGTACGCCTGTCGCCGACACCGTTACCGCATTGCTGTACGACGGACCTGCTGCAGCAACCGGCTGGGCTTGCGAAACCAGGGGGCCACCAAGGCGGTTCGTTGCGCCAACAGGCGTGGGAACAGGCACACCTGGCACGGCGGGCCGCACAGAGGGAGGGGCCGACGCCGCCACGATGCTTGCGTACGTCGGCTGCGACAAAAATTTCTCCGTCTGCAGGCGCGATACCGGTGGCGGCGACGACGACGACGACGGAGGCGCACCTGTTGCGGCAGATACGGGCACTGGTACTGGCACAGGCGCTTTCGCGGATAGCGGCACGTGACTACCCGGAGGATTGACGTTTCCCGCCACCGTTGACGCATGCACGCCGCCGTCATCACGATTGGTGTCTGAGCGAAGCCATTGTGGTACGGTCGATGCAACAGGTGGCGAATTTGCGAGTGGAGCATGTGGCTGCTTTTCCAAGTTCCACGGGAGAAGGGCGGGCCCTGGGGGGCCATACTTTGCTAGCAACGCATCACTCATCGCAGGCAAGGCGGCTGCCACAGACGGAGATGATAGCGGGGCTGATCCAGTCGTTGGAGGGGACACCGAACATACGCTCAGCGACTCTGCCGTGACAGGAAGTGGGTCGTTGGATTTGCTGAGAAAAGAGGACGTCGCGGCTGTATAAGCGGAACCCGAGGATCCCGGCACTTTGGAAGTACCACCAATAGAAGTGGAAGCGGGGGCAAGGGGAACCTGCTGCTGTGGCTGCTGTTGTGGTTGTTGCTGCGGCTGTAACGGTAGTGGTCCCGGTGCCACGGCCGCGGGGACACTGAGGGCTGATGTGGGGACCGGCGGCGCTTGCACATGTTGCTGTAGTTGTGGAGGAGATTGCACAGCGACAGGCGTAGGAATAGCAGAAGTAGGAGGTGGCGGCACCTGCATTTGCTGCTGCTGCTGCTGTGCTGGCAGCTGCAGGCCAACAGAGGCAGGGACGGACGAAGTGGGGGGCGGCGGCACCTGCACCTGCTGTTGAGGCGGCGGCGCGGCTGGCAGAAGAGGCGGTGCTGCGTTTGCCAATGCAGGCTGTTGTTGGTGTGGTGGCGGTGGCGGTGGTGGTGGCTGCTGTGGTGCAGCAACACTCCCTTGCGTCTTCTGTTGCTCAGCGGCGACACTGGCGCCTGCGCGCTCTGACGGGGAGGGAACCCCTGGCGCGGTCAGCCACGATGGGGTGCACGTCGGCGCGGTTGCTGCCGCTGTAGCAGTAGTAGTAGTGGTAGTCGTAGACCCATCCGCCGTCGCCTTTTTCGCGCTCTTCAAGTCGTGAACCGCCTTCTCCAGCTCCGCGATCTGCCGCAGCAGGGCGTTGTTAGTGGTCTCCTGCTGCCGTGACATATTGTACCGCTGCATCGCGGCAACGTCCGGCATCACGGGAATGGCGGAGATCTCCGGCGACACCACCAAAGGAGCGGCGTGGGCCTGCGGCAATCGTGCCAGCGGCTCCTCCCGCTTTGTCGGTTCGGGTGGCGCAGGCTGCTGCTGCTGTTGTTGATCTTGCGCAGTCCGTGCCCCACCCAGCGTGGCCTGCATCATCATCATCATACTCTCGCGCTGAAGAAGATCGTTACGCTCCTTCTCCCGATCAAAGAGCTTCTCCAGACGGTCCAACTTCTCTTGCAGGTGACGCACCTGCGATGTCTGCGCCTCGTACTCCGCCTGCAACACCTGCTGCTTCTGCTCTTGTGGTTGCGGAGCTGCTGCTGTTTCCGCCACCGCCGGCTTGCTGTGTCGCTTCCGCATGTGTGACTGAAGAGACTCCTGCTTCGCGTAGGCGTCTCCGCAGTGTGGACAGACGTACGGGTGTCCTGCGGTTGCTACTCCTGCTGGCCCACCAACACCACCTGCTGTCTTGGCGTACTCGTACGCCAGAAGTGTGCGCCGCTGCGCCTTCACCTCCTTGCGCAGCACCACGTTCTCCTCATGCAGCCGCTCCCGCTCCGCCTCTGAGGTGTCGCAGCGGTGCTGCATCCCCTGCACACGCTCACTGAGCTTCACGTTGATTTTTGCGAGGCACTCCTGCGAGCGCACAAGGTACTGAATCACCAGCTGGCACAACGTGAAGAGGTGCAGCGTGTGCTCCGGTGTGAACATCGCCGCCTCATCGCGTGTGACGCGTGCAAAGGCGAGATTCTCTACAACGCGCTGCAGCGTGTCGACGTTTGTGTCCTTGATCAGCCGCTGCACATCGATAGCCACCAGCACGCCCCAGTCGAGCCGCTCGTTGCCCTGCACGAACTCGAATGCGGCTGCTGCCATACTGCGAGAGGAGGAGGGGGGGGGATTCAATGCACAATGTGACACAGACGAACCCGCCGCCTGCAACTCCTGCTGCTAACTGCTGAGTGTGACAGGTGGGGAAAGAGCGGAAAAACAAAAAAGAAACAAACAAAAAACAAAACGCTGAGTAGTGCCGCCCACATGCATACAAGGGAGACGTATTCTCTGGTCCCGCCCTGTCCTGCCGCGGCACCAGTCGTGGCGCAGCAGTAGGAGCGCAGAACCAGTTCGTCTTCACCGCGTGCTCTTGTTGCCGTTCATGCTTGTTTCACCCAGCTCTCATTTTAAACGCTGTTATATACGAACTTACACACAAACACACACACACACACACACACACGGAAATACAAAAACCGCTATTCATCTTCTTCTCCCGTCCCTCTCCTGTTGCTGCCGCTTCCTCCTCTTATACCCTTCCCTGGACGCGTGGGCTGTGGTTCACGCCCGCTCCTCAGTTCGTCACAAAGGAGTAGGCGTCGGCCTCACGCTCCAGCAGTTGCCGTGTGCGGCGCGTGCCGACGATGCGGTTGAGCTCATGTGTGTCGAAGCGGCAGAAGAGCGTCAGCGCAAACGCGTTTGGTGAGTTCGCCACGAGGCGGCTAACAAGCGACATATAGAACGCGGGAAATACTGGCGGGCTGTAGAACACCATCACCTCTGCCAGCTTGACGAAGTAGCGCTTGAAGAAGTAGAAGCGCTCCGTCACGAGCAGCAGCGGCCGCTCCAGGTCGGTGAACTGCCCCAGTGCCTTGCGCTGCTGCTGCAGGGATGTGTACTCGCAGATGGCGGCGAAGGCGTCGCGGTGCTCGCGAATCATGTAGTTGCGCAGCCGCACGTAGTCAAAGTAGGACGGCACGAATATAATCGTGCGCACATCCCGCTCCACCAGCGGCGCGATCTTCTTCGCGAAGACGTCGCGCGTAAAGACGTCAAAGCGGGCGTCGTCGCAGGCCTCCGGCGACGGCCCGGGCTCGAAGCGGAGGAAGTGCTGCCGCACCGGCACCATCACCTGCGCCAGCAC